CCAGGCCATACACTCATAAACATAAAATAAAAATAAATTAATATTATATAAAGGATGAAAAAAAAAAACAACCCAAAACCGAAATTTTTATTTGACTTGCAGCCAGGTATGTCTTTGTTCCATTTGGTATAAAGTAACCCTTGTTTCCTGTTTTATGTTGTGAGTTAGTGACATCTGCAGTTAACCTTTCATTACCAGGTTTTGGCAAGTTGCTTGAAGTCACAGAACATTTTTTAGAAGAAGCATTACTAGTTCATGAACTCTGTTCTTGTAATTTTCGCTGAAGGTGTAACTGACTTCAGCAATGCGTTCATTTCTTTCCCTTTCCTCTATTTGTCTCCACCAAAGAACAAAAAGTCAGAACTGTGTGGGATGTTTCAAGATGGCCACAATGACTCATCATCTCCCATTTAGTTCATAAGACAAATTATAAAGAAATTAAAGTGATTCTGACAGGTTCAGAAACATAAATATAATCCAAGGTGTTTATCTCAACATTCTCTCACCAGTCCTTAGTTCCCTGTCTTCCTTGATCTTCTAAATGTTGGGAGATGTCTGGTCAGCCCCCATTGACAGTCTGCACTTCAGCCTCTTCCTCTTTTTCTTCAGATGTCATTAAAGCTGTCAGCACCATTGCTGTACATGAGAAAGAGGAGAGTCTATGGCCTCGGGTGGCTGTCTTCTCCTCTATGGCACCTGCAGTCCTCCATGGGGTGCGGCTCAGTGGCCTGAGGACTGTGGATCTGGAATCCCAGAAGATCACATACAGCTCAGGTACTACAGCAGTGTGTCCTTTGCTGGCTCCTCCAGCCAGCTCCATCCCTCAGCCCAGCCAAGCCATGTTCCAGACATAGCTCAGGCCTTTGTTCCAGATGCTTGGGAAATGTGGAGAATAAAGTGCAAACTCTGGCCTCCAGGACCCGGCACCCACCCAGCAGAGCAGACCATGACAAGATGAAGGAAAGGGGGGAAGCATGACTCATTCTGCCTGGGACTGGTGCCACCAACCGATCCTGCTACATTGCTAGACCCACCAGACTGCAGCACCTTTCCTTCTTTGCCTTTGGTCTTCCAGGTGTCAGTGACAGTGAGGAGCTGAGTAGCCTGCAGGTCCTGGATGCAGACACCTTTGCTTTCTGTGGCACTTCAGGCCGGCTGGGGCTTGTGGATACCCGCCAGAAGTGGGCACCGATGGAGCCTCTGAGCCTCAACCCTGGGTCTAGTGGAGTGAAATGGTGTGCCAAAGTTAGGGACAAGGACCAAGGTCCTGGGCCTTGCATCGCCAGCCTTGGCTCAGACGGGCAGCTTCGTCTCCTTGACCCCCGGAATCTCTGCCATCCTGTGAGCTCAGCACAGTGCCCAGTGCCCACACCTAGCCCTGACCCAGAGCTGTTGCGAGTGACTTGGGCTCCAGGCCTGGACAACTGCTTGGCCATTTCAGGTACTTTTGGGCAGAATGTATGTTACTTGTCCTCACTTTCTGGGGGTTGGTACTATGCTCAGGAAGCAATCTGTAGCCCCATAGTAAATCTGGCTACAGAAGTTCAAGTTGCCCACAGGCAGCTCCAATTTTGTCTTCAGGCTCCTCAAGGGTGGCTCAACTTGCATCCATTGGCAGCAGTCCTTCCAAGCCTAGCAGAGCTTCAGGTCTGTTGTGAGATCAAAGAGATCTGGAACAGTCATGATGCTGCACCAGAAACAAGTGACAGGAAGACAGCAAAATGGGAAGGGGATGGGCGTGGCTCAGTGGATGACAAGAGGGTAAATTCTCTAAAAGAGGAGACAAGGCTATCAGCTGAGGACCCAGAGGTAGAGGGATTGGAACTTGGAGCAAATTGAAATGGCTTGAATAAATTTTTTATGCCTTTATTTCCTGAAGAGATACAGTTATAAGGATTAAAGATAGTATATGTTGCTGGGTGTGGTGGCACATGCCTTTAATACCAGGCACTCTGTGAGTTCAGCCTGGTCTATATAGCGAGTTCCAGGCCAGCTGGGGCTATAGGGAGACCCTGTCTCAAAAAGACCAAAAAAAAAAAAAAAAGATAATGCATGTTGGGGGGGGGGACATAGCTCAGTCAGTAAAGTGCTTGCCATCAAGCTTGAGGGCTCAAATTTGATCCTCAGAACCCATGTAAAAAAGCTGGGCATGGTGGCATGTAGTTGTAATCCTAGTGCAGACAGTTGGAGACAGGCAGATCCCCGGGGCGCACTGGCCTGCCAGCCTAGCTGAATTGATGAGCTCTAAGTCAAAGAGAGACCCTTTGTCAAAAAACAAGGTGGACAGTGCCTGGAACCACATCCAGGGTTGACCCCTCTGGTCTCCATGTGTACCTGCACACATATGTACCTCCTCCACATGTGTACCCACTTCCACACAAACATTTAGGCACATGTATACATACGCACACAACAAAAGATAGCACATGTCTGGGATCCATCTCAGGCCTGGAATGGAACATGATACACATAGCACAGATGGTCATCAGACATGCCCAGGAGTCCTCAGCAGTCAGCATTGGAGCAGGTATAACTTTCCCCTTGGTTGGCCTCTAAATGTCTTGTTACAGAGGAAGTTATCATAGGAAGTGTTCAAGGAATATGGGTCACTCCTGTCTTCTGTGTTCTTCCTCAGGCTTTGATGGAACAGTCCAGATCTATGATGTTACATCGTGGGATGGAAAGAGAAGCCAAGTGGAGCCTCTCTTCACTCACAGGGGGCACATCTTCCTAGATGGACATGAGGTCCATACCGCTCCATTGGTCACCACCCATACCTGGCACCCTTGCAAACCCAGGACTTTGTTATCAGCGGCAAGTGATGCCTCTCTGCATGTGTGGGACTGGGTAGACCTCCAGGCCTCCTGCTGACACTAGTCTCTCCCCTCCTGAGCTTCTGGGAGGAGGAGGAGCTGCCCATTCAAGGCACTGATGCAGGACTCCAGTGACCACAGGTCTACTGAAACTGTTGGCCTCAGGCAAGTTAGCCAGCCTTTCTTAGCCTATTTTATCTGTAAAATGAATATAGTAGTGACAACTTCCCATGGTTATGGGGAATGTCAGAAGTAAAGTATCAGAAAGTAGCTGGTGGGACACATGGCACAGTAGACTGGTTAGAAACTACTGATGGCTCTGGGAGCTCTGCCTCCCCAGAAATAAAGTGGCAATGCTGTGTCCCAGTCTTCACAGCTGCATAGTGAGAAGCAGGAGAATGCATGAATGTAAATATGGGTGTGAACTTTTCATAGAAGGGAACAATGTGTGTCAATAAACATTGAAAAAAATCACCCCAGTAACAGGCAAGTATGACTGATTTAGTTATTCAGTTAGGTTTTTGTGTGTATTTTGTTTTGTTTTGTTGAGAGAGGTTTTCCCTATAGCCTCAGGTGGCCTAGAACTTGCTATGAAGAATAGACTGGGCTTGATCTCTCAGAAATCAGTCTGCCTCTACCTTCTGAGTGCTGGGATTAAAGGTATGCACCATCACTCCCAATACCAAGCCCTTTTTAAAATAAAGTTTTTATTTGATTTCTCTTTTTCTTTTTTTTTTCCTTTCTGTTTCTGTGTGTGTTCATGAGTGTGGCTAATTGCTGGCAGAGTAGACTTCATTCTGAGGCCTCTTTTCTTGGCTAATAGTCTACAGCCCCCTTTCCATTAGTTCACTTGACCTTCACTCTGTGTGTCCTGATAGAAGACAGGACTGAGCTCCCCATTCCTCTTCACTGTAAGGCCACTGATCCTGTTGGATAAGGACCCCACCCTTATGACCTCATGTAACCTTAATTACTTCTTAGACCCTAACTTCAAATTTAGTCAGTATATGAATAGGGAGGCACATACTTCTTTGCATAGCACTTAGAAAAGATTTTGTAATAAGAAGTACCTAACAAAAATTTTAAAATAAATGAATATTATTTTTGAGATAGGAACCCAATTTAAAACTTCAGGCTAGTCTTGAACTTGCAGTCTGTCTTCTTCAGCCTCCTGAAGGCTTGAATTATAGGCCACACAGTAGATACACATTGAGATTATTTTTCCATTCATATGGGGCCTCATGATGTTGCCAAGGCTGGTGAGCTCAAGTGCTCCTCCCCTCCCTCCTCAGCTTCCTGAGCAGCTTGGCTACAAGTGTGTGACACTAAACCCAGCTTGGAAATGAATTTGTTTATTACTTAACAGTGAAATTGATAGAATGTTAGCTTGGGGGAGGTTTGACGATTCAGTTTCAAGATGTGATCCTTCTTAGCATTTTCTGAAGTGCTCTCAGTCACTTCCGCCCCCTCATGAGAGCAGGTTCTGTAGATCTCTTCCCAACTCTGCTGGGTGATGTCACATTGATAGCTTGAAATTGGCCATGGCAGGAATATTTACATCTTAGAAATTGGCAAATGTTACAAAGCAGAGCTTTTGTTTTCCCCCCAGAGAGCTGGATTACCAGCGTGCCACTGCCTAAGCTGTAGTAGTTCGCCAAGTAAAAGCAGAAGTGAGTAATTTAGAAAATGGTAGACTTGATATGTGAATTTAAATGCTACTTTGCTGAAAATTATTACTAAAATTTATCAATCAGTCAGAATCTGGCCAGGAAGACCAAACCTACACCAGGCAATTTAGTTTAATGGTGAAGTGTCTGGAAGAGGAAACAAGGGAAGGTGAAGCATCGAGGTACTAGGGATAGGGGATAGGTAAGCAACTACAGGAAGTTGCCATCAAGGGGCAAAAGGACCTGGGTGGATATGACCAGAGCTCAGCGGTTGGGCCTGGCCTCCTGGTGGGAACTAAGCAGTTTTCCCTCTGGCCTGAGCCTAGATCGTGGAGCAAAGGCTGCCTCACTGGCACTAGATCCACAGAGAAAATGGCTGACAGCTGCAGGAAGCACAGTGACAGGAGAGTAGTAAAAATTAAAGAGGCCTGGAGAGATGGCTCAGCAGTTAAGAGCACTGGCTACTCTTGCAGAGGACCCAGGTTCAGTTCCCAGATGACTGACAACTGTCAGTAACTCCAGCTCCAGTTTGTGTTTGTGTATGTGGGGGTGGCATAAGAGCCATGGCACATGTGGAGGTCAGAGGACTACTTTTGGGAGGTGGTTCTCTACTTCTACCATGTGGGTCCTGGTCATCAGGTTTGGCAGTACATCCCTTACTTGCTGAGCTATCTCCAAAAAAAATTTTCTAAAGAGCTGGGGAGATGACTCAGTGGGTAAAGTGCCTACCCCACAAACTTGAGGGTCTGTGATACAATGTTATTTCTCTCTCCAAGGCCCCATCATGCTGCTGTCTCTCCTAATGCTCTCTCCCTTCAAGGACCCAACACGGCTGAATATGGTCATGAGGCTGTCTTTCCTATCTGAAGAGTAATATGTAAGCTCCTTTCAATTAACCTGCTTTCTTTTTTAAAGAAGTATGTAAGTGTACTGGTATCACCCAATTCCCATGAAAGCCAGAAAAGGGCATCAGATCTCCTAGAACTGGAGTTAGCCACCATGTGGGTGCTGGGAACCAAACCTCGGTCCTGTGCAAAAGTAGCCAGTGCTCATAACTGCTGAGCTCTCTCTCCAGTCTCAGGAAGGAATTTTTAAAATTCAGTAGTAAAAAGTCTATGGTAGGGACTGAAGAAATGGTTTGGTAGTTAAGAGTTCTTGCTGCTCTTCCAGAAAATTCCAGTACTCATGTCAGGCAACTGACATGTCAGGTAACCAGCTCCAGAGGATTCAACTCCCTCTCTTGCCATCCACACGCACATGCACATGCATGTGGTATATACATACACACACACACAAACATGCTAAAAATAAATTTTTTTAAAGGTTGGGCGTTGGAGAGATGACACAGCACTGCCTGTTCTTGCAGAGGACTCAGGTCCAGTTCTCAGCACCCAAATGTCAGCTAACAATGGTCCATAACTCTAGGTCCAGGGAATCCAAGGCCCTCTTCTGGCCTCTGGTCATTGTACATACAGGTGCACTTACATACATGCAGGCAAAACACTCATACACAACAAAAAATAAATCAAAAATATTCAAAGATTGGAAATAGATGACTCAGTGGTTAAGAGCACTTACTGCTCTTTTGGAGGACCTGAGTTTGGTTCCTAGCACCTACATGGACCCTCACAGATGCGTGTAACTCCAGTTCCAGGAAATCTGATATGCTCTTTTGCCCTCTGAGGGCATTCTACATATATGGTAAACTTAAAATACATGCAAGCAAAACATACACAAAAATAAAAAGAAATTTTTTTTCTAAAGTCTAGAAACTATAGAAACTCCACAGCTTTGTTACAGTAAAGAAAATAGCACTCTTACCTAATGAGACCCCATGTACAAATTCTCCTTAAGTTACTTCCTTTAGGTGTCTCTTCAGCTTCTGGTGACCTCTACATCTCCTGGGAGACATAAAATGTCATACCACTAAATGTCACCTCCTGGGGAAACAATATCCCTCCTCAAAACATACTGCCTGAGCTGGAGAAGTAGCTCAGTGGTAGAATACTTGTCAAGCAAGTACGGAGTTCCATCCCAGCACTGCAAAAACTAAACTAAAACACATGGCTTTGTGTGTTAGGATTCTTATCATCATGAAGAAGCATCTATCAATGAAGGGAGGACAAGGTTTCAGAGTTTTGGACTATCGTGGTGGGGAGGGGATGATGGAGCAGAGCAGTCCACACCACGACTGCCAGGAAGCAGAGAGAATGATCCACACTTTTTCACTTTGTATCCTCTCCAGGCCCCCAGCCTGTGGTGTGGTGCTGTCCACGTTAAAGACAGGTCTTATCTTCCTTAGTTAAGTCTCTCTGGAAAGCCCCTCATAGACACACCCAAAGATGAGCTTTGCTAATTTCCTAGATACTTCTTAGCCAAATCAAGTTAATGATCATGCCAGGCGTGGTGGCATATGCCTTTAATCCCAGCACTGGGGAGGCAGAGGCAGATGGATCTCTGAGTTGAAGGCCAGCCTTGTCTACATAGCAAGTTCCAGGCTAGGTGGGGCTATAGGGAGACCCTGTCTCAAAAAAGATGACAATCACAGAAAGGGGGCAGGGAGTGGCACACTCCTTTAATTCCAGTACTTGGGAAGTAGAGGCAGGCAGATATCTGTGAGTTTGAGGCCAGTCAGGGCTACATAGTGAAACCATGTTTCCAAAAGGGGAGGGGGACCTTGAGAGATTGCTCAATGGTTAAGAGCGCTGGCTGCTCTTGCAGAGGACCTGGGTTTGGGTTCCAGCATCTGTATGGCACTAATAGCTTCCTGTAACTCCAGTTCCAGGGGATCCGATACTCTCTTCTGACCTCCTCCAATTGCACAACGTTTGTGCACTTACATACATGCAGACGATACACTCTGATAGATAGGAATGTTGGGGAGAGCGTGCGTGCGGTGGAGAGCACGAGTGGATGGAGGAGGCACTGATTGAATTCTCAGTGGGATACAGATTTATTTCACACGGGGCACCTTTCCCTTGGGGAAGGGAAAGATGTCAGGGAAGGGAAGGATGTCAGGGAAGGATGTCAGGGAAGGGCAGGGAAAGATGTCAGGGAAAGATATCAGCCCATGGGTTGTGAGCTGGGACTTTATATATGGGGGCTTTAGGGTATGGAAGGGGGGAATGTTTGGGGGAGAAATCAGGGAGGGGGAAGCAGGAAAAGCAGGTAGGATTAGGGTCTGGAAGTGTTTACTTTTTCC